GAACCAAAATGGACAGCCGCTCAGGGGTCTCCCACTTGGGTCAGTTCTGCTCCGTTGGCCCCTTGGAGTTCATTGTCCCATTCCAGCTCCAGCCCGGGCTGTCCCATCCTTGTTTTCCTCTCTCCAGCCCACGGTGTTTGTGCTCCTGGGCTGAGATTTGGGTCATTTGTCCTTGGTCCCAGCTGGAGCAGGAATTGTTTGGTCTCTGCTCCGTGCAGAGCTCAGCACCCCATAATGTAAAGCCCAGACGCACCCACTGAAGCAGCAGAGAACCTGGAAACCAGAAAAGCCCGAGCCCGAGGGCTCGGTGCAGTTCCAGGGCTGAGGCTGCAGCCCCAGGAGTGCCTTTTTTGGGCTGCGATCCCGAGGTGTCTCCGTGTCTCCTCGGGAGCTGGGGATGCTCTCCCGAACTCCGAGGGAGCCGAGCTCAGCTCTCAGCTCTCCCCAGCTCTGCTCGGAGCTCCGCTGCTTTGTTTGCCCGGTATCCTTCGCAGAGAGCCGCGTGTGGCCTTTGTTCTCCTCTCGGACCTGAGGCAGGGCTGGGCCGGCCCGAAGGAATGACAGAATGGCCCTGGAATGTGGGAATGTGATGTGTCACAGCTGGGGAAAAAAGGGCTTCAGAAAAGTCAGGCTTGCCCTTTATTTGCGGGTGGATGGAACTGACACGTCCTTGGAAGGTGGGAAAGAAGGGAAAAAAAAAAAAAGCCTGGCTTAGGCATGAACAAATTCATGTTGCTGATCTTTTTTTAGAAGAAATAACTAAAAATGTAATTAAAAGCCCCAAAGTCTGGGAGCTTTGGATGGCAATGCTTCTGAGTCAGAAACAGGATTTTTGGATGCAGCTGGAAAGCATTGCAGTTGCTGCATGTGAGCCAAGAAATAAAGTGTGTTTGGGGAGCAGCAGCAGTTCATATCCTGCTGCAGTGGGAAGGCTGCTGGTTTTCCAGCCATTTCCCTTATGGGTATTGCAGAACTGTAGGATCGTGGGATCTCCTGGCCTGGAAGGGACCCTCAGGGATCAGGGAGCTGCTGCTGTGCAGAGCTGCTTCTTCACGGGTGCTTTCCTCTCCCCGGGGATGGAGGCAGCTCCTGAAGCTGTCGGCCCTTCTGTGGGTATTTTGGGCTGCATCCCCCGTCCTGTCTGCCAGAGAGCAGAGGGCATCCACAGCCTGCTGGGATTACAGTTTGTGGAAGGTTCCTCTGACCTCAGATGGTAACTGAGGAGAGAAATACTGATTAATATGAATGACCATGAGAATATTGGAGTGTGGTGAATAATAAAGGCAGCAGAGCCATAATTAGCATCCTCTCAGTGCCCTGACTCCTGGATTTTGGGAATGTGCAGCAGCACAGCTGCCAAGGTCCCTTTAAAGTCAGGTGTGCTGCAGCAAGCACAGGGTGATGACAGAATGAGCAATCTTCTTGTCTCACCTCCCTGGAAGTTGAGATGCACAATTAATCCTGCTCTCCATTGTCATCCCTTTCCTTCCTGCCTGGCTCCTTCCTCTCTTCACTGTGAATATTCTCCCAAGGTTGAAGTGTGAGGGGAAAGTAAGATTGGCATTTTGAGCTGGTAAATGAGGTTAATCAGCTTGGTGGTGGGTGGGAGGAATGTGCTCTGGGGTTAAGAATTTGATATTAATGGTTAGCAGGACCCTCCTTGCCAGACCTGTGAAAATTCCCTTCAGTCAGGCAGGAACTTCAAAAAAATCTGGTCAAAAACTGGTTAGAACTGATTAAAAATCACCTGATGGTTTTATTGTTGCTATAATTAAGAGAAACACAGGGACTGGGAGGGTGTGTGGAAGGTGGTGCCTTTTCCCCCTCTCCTGAAGAGAGGGTTTGGGTTTGCTGGGCAGGAATTAGGGCTGTAAATCTCTGCAAAAAGCAAAGAAATGGAGCTCCTGGGATCCCTGCAGGACGAGGAAGGTTGGTCTGAGCAGATTTGGGATGTGTAATTCTGGCAGCTGCCGTGGCGGACCTGCTGGGGAGGAACTCGAATCCTCTCTCCTGGCTTTTGGCAGAGTCAGGGAAAACACACAGATGACGTTCTCCAAAAACACCTCCCTCCCTCTGCAGAAGGCACGGTGAGGAGGCAATAATTCAGCTGGAGGGCTGGATGCAGCCAGGATCCCTCTCCCAAGAGTTCAAACCTTGAGAAGCAGCAGATCAATTTTTGCAGTGTTTGCTCAACTCCCATCCACCACTGGCAGCAGAGGCAGGAGGGATGATTGCCCTGTAACAGGAGAAGCAGCTCACAGATTGCCAATATAATTGCCTGCTTTAATTAATTTCACCTTCCTGCCTCTGATACTAGAATGTGAAAGGCAAAGTTGCTATTTTTATAGCAATGCACATGTAATTAGTACAAAACCCACCCAGGACATGGAAACCCGAGCTGCAACGTTTAGTGACAAATGCAAATTCCAACCTAAATATTTTCCTCTGCTTGGCAGTGAGTCGATGCTGGTAAAAAGATGCACAACAAGTCCTCCTGCACAATTGCAGCTCTCCCAGGCTGCTGTGCTGGGTGTTCCTGCCCCCCAGCAGCAGGGACGAGTGGCTGGGATGGGAATGTGCCCTTCCCTGCCCAAACATCCCCTCTGCTCCTTCCAGGTGGGATGGACTGTGCCCGCTGAAGGCAGAGCTGTGCCAGGGGCACAGTGCTGCTGTGCCCATCAAATCAGCCCCCACGGGGTCATCCTGAACCCAGCCATCCCTCCCCACCTGCTCTGTGCCTTGGAAAACAGGCTGAATCTGTGCAATTTGGTGGATTTAACCACTGTTTTCTTTGATTCCGTGGATTTCTGGCCTCACAGTTCCAGCTGAACTCAGAGAAGTGTGGAAGTACCAACAGAAATGGTTGTAATGGCACGTGGAGAGTCTGTTCACATGGGGTGACTTTTGATTTGTCGTATCCCAAGTTTCTTTTCCAGGAGGGTAATTCCTGTTGTCCCAACAGACAGGCAGGTCTGGGGTGGCACTGTGCCTGTTCAGAGAGGGGCACACACTTGGCTTTCCCTCTCCTGCCAAGCTCAAACCCTGTCCATGCCTATGGATGTATATCAGCATTCTTCCAGTATCTTTCCAGTTAATGCTGTCAAATTCTGGGTTTGCTGTAAAGGATTTCATTGCTCAAAACCAGATTTTCTTTTTTTTTAACACTTAAAAAAATAATTGTAGGATCCCAGAACGATTTGGGTTAGAAGCAAGCTTAAAGTCATCTTGTTTCACTCCTTTCCACAGACCAGGCTGCTCAGAGCCCCACTAATGACCTCAGGCACTGTGTGAGCTTTAATTAATCGATTTCAGCTCTATCTCCTTCCCTGCCACCCCCAGCACTCGGGGACTTGTTGGAGTGTTCTCCTGGCAGTTTGTGGGCTGGGAAGTGACTGGGACATGGAGATGAGTGAGGATTTGGATACAGAAGGCACAGAAACATATGGACTGCTTGGGCTGAACTGGGAAGATTGTAAGACATAACTTCCCTGATTGTTTCTGGACCGAAAACTTCCCACCTTATTTGCAGCCAAATATCAAATGAACTGAAAGAGGGGAAGGTTAGGTTAGAAATGAGGAAGGAATTGTTCTCTGTGAGGGTGGGGCCTGGCACAGGCTGCCCAGGGGTGCTGAGGCTGCCCCTGAATCCCTGGATGTGTCCAAGGCCAGGCTGGAACACCGTGGGATGGTGGAAGGTGATCTTTGAGGGGATGGATCCCTGGAATGGGATCTTCGAGGCCCCTCCCAGCCCAAAGCTCTGTGATTCCCTCATTCTGTTGTGTGTGAGAGCAGGAGGAATGCTGATCCCAATAAAAGTGGAGACAGCTTTCCTTCCCTCACAGACTCCCTGTTCTGGTTTGAGGGAGACCATCTGCTCTGCATTTCCAGTAACCGTCATCCTCCCACAGCCATCAGAGCACTTGTGATCCTGAGGGGAAAACCCACTTTTCTCAGTAATGAACAATGATCCTGAGGGGAAAACCCACTTTTCTCTGTAATTAACAATTTGCACATCTTGTCTTTCAGATGGGAGGAGGAGCTGACGAGAAGGATGAGCCTGGAATCCATGGTGGAAACCTTGAGAGAGGTGAGGTTTGGGCAGTTTGGAGTGAATGGTGCAGGGGTTTTCTACACCTCTCCTCATGCTGCTCAGCATTTTATTTGTCTTTGAATTAAAAATTTGCCTTCTGGCTAGAACAGCTGTGCTGCTGTAGAGGACAGTGCTAATGCTGGGAAGCTGGAGCAGGAAATGACGAAATTTGTGACAAAGTTTGTGACAAAGTGGGAGGAGGGAGTGGAATTTACAACGGAGGGTAACAATTAAATTTCACTAAAGAATTCAGTTCCATTGTAACCCCCTTTTTAAGCAGCCTGCTCAGCTGGGTGAGGAGCTTGGTGGGCTCTCCCCTCTCACCTCCAGGGTGTTTTTCCTTGCAGGAGGCCCAGGAAGCAGAAGCTCTCCAGGAGGAGCTGAATGAGAAGATTGAGAGGCTGAAAGCAGAGCTGGTGGTCTTTAAGGGTCTGATGAGTGATGTAAGTACAGAGGGCCCTCTGTGGGTGTGTGTCCTGCACATGGCTTCGTCCCCAGCCAGGTGATTAGGAGTGCTGCTGTGTAATTAGCGAGTGCTGCTGTGTAATTAGTGATGGCTGCTGGGATCTAATGCATCAGACAGATCCCCCTTCCCTGCTTCCTGTTTGGTCTGTGTGGAGATGCATTAACTGCTGCTTACCCATAACCAGGACTCTGCCCTCCCCTCCCTTCCCCACAGCTGCTGGGCAGCCTCGGA